TGCATTGTGGGAAACTGCAGTCAATGTCATGAGACAAAGTGTATGTGAACTGCTGTATGGAGAATGCATTTGTTATGTAAACTCTCACCCAAATCACAATAAAAAAATTAAAAAAAAAATATGTGGAACACAGGGGTCCCGTCAGAACCTGGGACTGCTCTCCTGGATGGCCCCAGGCTAGTTATTTAACTCCTCTGTGCCTCTTCCACTAAATGGAAATAATAACAGAGCCATATTTTTTGCAAATAACATGCCCACACACACTAAATGCAGAGGTGATCCCATGAATATACTGCTCACGTCTTGTGACATGATCAAGTTTGGTAATAATTGGGAAATAAGCACACCCATGTATTTGTTTCTGTTAACGTAAGTTGATAATTACAGCACATTAGCTCAACAGCTGAACGCAAAAACCTCATCAGATCGTCTCAAGTGACACCGTAGGTTACGGTAGGCCTGATTATTTCATAGTTTCGTTATGTCTTCACAGTATCAATTGAAGTCAGGAACATGTGAAAAAAAAATCGGCATAGTGTGCTAGGAAAATAACATAGGGGTGAGGGGTGCTCGGCAAAACGTGGGTAATGCACATATTTGAGAAATACAGTACCTACCCCCATAGCACTTCCATAAGGGACTGTGTGAAATACAGCTGTGTGCTTATTAACAGCACCTGCTACATCCAAAACCCAAATCCAAAATCTATAGAAAATTTCAACACCTCAGCACCAAAAAGACAAATAACCCAATTCACAAATGGGCAAAAGACTTCAAAAGACATTTCACCAAAGAAGATATACAGGCAGCCAACAAACACATGAGAAATTGCTCACGATCATTAATCATTAGCGAGATGCAAATCAAAACAACAATGAGATATCATTTCACCCCAGCAATAATAGCAAAGTTCAGCAGGTCAGAAAATAACAAATGCTGGCAAGGTTGTGGAGAGATCGGAACTCTTGTACACTGCTGGTGGGATTGTAAAATGGTACAACCATTATGGCAACGGTATGGTGTTTCCTTAAACTGAAAATAGAAGTACCATTTGACCCAGCAATTCCATTACTAGGAATATATCCTAAAGAGGTAAGAGAGAGTGCATGAACAGACATATGTACACCTATGTTCATCGCAGCACAATTCACCATAGCAAAGAAATGGAAACAATCTAAATGCCCATCAACAGATGAGTGGATAACTAAATTATGGTACATGCACAAAATGGAATACTACGTTACATTAAAGAACAATGAGGGATACGTGAATCATCTCACAACGTGGATGAACCTGGAGGACATTATGCGGAGTGAGGTAAGTCAATCGCAGAAAGACAAGTACTGTATGAGCCCATTACTGCAAAAAGACAGAGAAGGGTTTGCTTGGGAAACAGAACTCACTTTGCAGGTTACCGGGATGGGGATGGATTAATTTCAGGCTAGTTGGGGCCTACAAGCTGACATGGGTGGGGGAGGGATATATGGGAAGGATTTATGACCACCATGGTAACATTAGGAAATGGAAGGACATCAAATTGTTCACATAAGAGATAGACGACAGATGCTAATACCAACCAATGTGTCCACAATACTGCATTGCCATTAACACCAAACATCAGCCTACAGATCAACACATAAACACCTGAGAGGATCAGATGGGAGTCAGTGAACAGAAGTATATTCTAGGCCAAGGATGAATTCAGCTGAGGTTAATCTTGCAAAGACACCAGTGATACAGAACACCTTCAGTCCTTACAGAAACAATACAAGACAGATGCAGAGTAATCCCTCATAGACACCCAGACACTATGGGAGAGAGATCCAATAGATCTACCATCTCAGGACCATAGTACTGGGGGACACCAGACTCAACTGGCACAACAAAATATATAAAAGCCTTGTTCTGCACCTTACATCGGTGAGTAGCAACTGGGGGGTCTCCTAGTGTTGGAAGTGAAAGAAGC